ACTGAGCCACCCAGGTGACCCTCTTTTTCATTTTTTACGGATCCTCCATCCTGTTTTCCATAGCAGTTGTACCAATTTATAGTCCCAACAGTGCACAAGGCTTTTTTTCCCTCCACATCCATACTAGTATGTTATCTCTTATCTTTTTGATGATGGCATTCTAACAGGTGATATATTGGCATTATGAGGTGGTATCTCACTGTGGTTTTAATTTGCATTTCCCTAATGAATGGTGATGTTGAGCATCTTTTCATGTGCCTATTGACCTTCTTTGGAAAAATGTTCAAGACCTTTGCTCATTTTCAGCCTATTTTTTTTAAAGATTTTTTTATTTATTCATGAGAGAGAGAGAGAGAGGCAGAGACACAGGCAGAGGGAGAAGCAGGCTCCACACAGGGAGCCCGACATGGGACTCGATCTGGGGACTCCAGGATCACACCCTGGGCCGAAGGCAGGCACTAAACTGCTGAGCCACCCAGGGATCCCCTCAGCTTATTTTTAAAATATTTTTCTTATTGTGATAAAATATACATAACACAAAATTGATCATTTTGAACATTTAATTTAAAAAAAATAAAAATATTTATTTATGGGCAGCCCGGGTGGCTCAGCGGTTTAGTGCCACCTTCATGCCAGGGCGTGATCCTGGAGACCACGGATCAAGTCCCATGCCGGGCTCCCTGCATGGAGCCTGCTTCTCCCTCTGCCTGTGTCTCTGCCTCTCTCTCTGTCTCTGTGTTTCTCATGAATGAATAAAATATTAAAAAGATAAAATAAAAATATTTATTTATTCATGAAAGACAGAGAGAGGCAGAGACATAGTCAGAGGGAGAAGCAGGTGCCCTCAGGAAGCCTAATGTGGGACTCGATTCCTGAACTCTAGGATCATGCCCTGAGCCAAAAGCAGAGCTTAACTGCTGAGCCATCCAGGCATTGCGAACATTTTAAAATAAATAATTCAGTGGCATTAATTAAATTTACAATGTTGGGGGCGGCTGGGTGGCTCAGTCGGTTAAGTTTGACTCTTGATTTTGGCTCAGGTCATAATCTTGGGGTGGTGAGATCAAGCCCCACATGGGGCTCTGCACCAGGCATGAAGCCTGCTTAGGATTCTTCCTCTGCTCTTCCCCAACACCCCTTCAAAAAAATTCACAATGTTGTGCAATTATCACCATTATCTATTTCTAGAACTTTGTCGTTATCTAAACAGAAACTCTGTAACCACCTAACAGTAACTCTCCATTTCCCCTTTTCCCTGGGAACCCGATTTTCTGTTTCCCCAGGAACATTTTTAGGGAAGACACCAGTACACCATGTGTTGCTGTCCGTGAATATATCTTCAAAGTTCTCTTCACCCTCCCTCCAGTGCTGAAGAGCCTGTCCTCTCTCTGAGCCCTGCAATCTCTCTCCAGTCTTCTCCTGACTTGCTGCCCTCTGGATCTCTTACCTTCTCATGTGCTATTGCACCAGCTTCCAGCAGAAGGCCTTCTAGATCTCACAGAGCCGGCAGTAAGGTGCAGTCCAGCTTTTGTCTCATGGCAAGCAGCCTCTTGGCATTCTTGGGAATAAAATTCTCCATCCTAACCCCAGAAAAATGTGATGCCCCCATACATTTAGAATTTTCTCCTCAGAGGCAAGAGTGGGGAGAGACCAAATACATGTTGGCTTGTGGCACCAAGACTATTTCCAACTCATAGCCTGACCTTCCCCCAGTTCTTTTCTCACGGGGTTGCTGAAAGTGAAACTGCACTGGCAGTCACCAAGATAGCTTAGGACTCTGAAGTGGAAGGGACCAGCATGTGAGGGTGAAGCTGAGGCCTGGATAACAAGAAGACAGTCATGTAAAGAGTCCACACAAGAATATACAGACAGAACATGTGCAAAAACGCTGAGGTGGGAAGAAGTGTTGTCTATTGGAGGAGGCCTGGTTGCCTGAAGTGTGGTGGGCATGCAGGAGAGTGGCCAGGTCCAAATCATGAGGGCTTTGGGTGTGATGTAAGAAGTTTACACTTGATTCCATATTCAACGGGAAGCCATGTGTATAAGCTCAGACACCACTGTATGTAATAGAAAACCCAGCTTAAACAGTTTAAGCAATAGAGGGAATTTATTGACCTGAATACCTGAAAAGTCCAGAGGAGGATGGTCTTGAGGTGAGCTCTGGTTTCATTTTAATTTGCCATTCCTCATCTTGCCATCTTGTCTTGGCCTACTTTCTCCCAAGATGGCAAGATGGTTTGGGCCGCAACCAGGGTAACTGTTTCTTTTTTCGCAAGGAGAGGGAGAGTCTAGCTTCTGTAGGCCAATTAACAGAATCCCTCACCTTCACTGGGTTTCGATCAGCCTGGACCAGTCACAGTGGGCATATCTCTACACACCTCAATACCTGCAGTGAAGCTCTAACTCCAGTCAGGATTTCCTCCTTCCTGATGCTAGGGCTGGGGTCAATCCCAAATGGCATGCGGATACTTAGTGAGGGTGGAGTGGTCCTCCCAATACAATTTGGAAACAATTAGGAAAGAAAAGGGAAGTGGATGCTGGGCAAGTAACTCCAAAATTCATTGTACCATGGAAGCATTGTTAAAAATCACTCTAGCTGCTATGAGGGCCGACTGGAGGAGCCAGGAAGGAAGCAAGGAGGAAGGCTAACTACTAGACTGTTGCAGTGGTTCAGACCAGGGTGATGGTGGTACAGACGGAGATGCATTTGGGGGATAGAATTGACTGGACCTAGGGATGGATTGGATGATGGAGGAGGTAGTTGTGTCCAGATTCTAAGAAGTCTCAAGTGACAGGCTTTGGATATTATCTTTGTAGACAATGATGGAGCTGTTGGAATGAGTTGCCTTTTGCGAGAGTAAGAGATTAAGAATTTTTGGTTTTGGATGTCTTTCAATTTTTCTTTTTTAGTTTTAACAATTTACCACAGTATATTCTTTTGCTTTTCTACTGTTTTCCAAGTGATGAAAACACCAAAATGAAAGCCTATGATTTCATTAGGTTGATTTACTGCTCACCCTGTATCCAAGTCAACTGACTGAAATTATCTTCAAAAAATCCTGTTTTCTGTAGCCTAATTTTATAAGCCCACAAGAACTCAGCTTCACTTGAATCTTACAACACTGTGAAATTAATATTAACTTAGCTGAATGTTTTCAGTTTGAATTAATATGCTTGCAATGTCATTCAATCTTGCAAATTGCTATCATCAGGAAGTGAACATGTTTTAGCTTTTCAAAGTATCAATTATGAGGCATAAGAGTTCAACTGCAGCTCCTGGTTTAATCCTCTAGCTATCCGTCATCTAAAGCTTACTGAAAGAGTTGAATTAAACTTCAAGGATGTAGGGTGGCTATTTTTTGCAGACCAGGTAAACAATAGCTGCAGTTTGATGCCCTTGATGGAAGTGGACTGGTGTGTTAATTCTGCATATGAAGTCAGCAAAGCACTTACATTTTAAAGGATCTAGTCTTGTTCTGATTCAAGTTTGTCCTTTCAAAAAGAGTTGCTATTCCTCCATTCTGTAAAGAAGTTCAGGACTTGGCTTTGATTTTAAATTCCCATATATTATTTTGTCATTAAAATACAAAATACTTGGTGGGGCTTTTTTCTTTTGGACAAGTCCCCATCTCTTCGTTTTTCAGTTTTCTTATCATTTCTTTACTCTTAATGAGGATAAAAATTCCTGACTAGATAGCTCATAACACTGTTTTGCGGGGCAGGTCAGATGATACAAGGAAAAGTCGTGAGGCTTGCTAAATTCTACATAAAACATTTCTTTTATGATCACACAACATCTATAGTTGTAGCAGTTACTGTTAGTGTCTTTTTGCACTACTGCTTCCTCCGTCTGTGTAAAGGCACTAGATCTGTGCAAGGCAGGCTGGGAGTGCCAGGCAATTTATGCTGTGGGAACAGTCCTAGATCCATGACCATTGGGGGTTGGTGGATGAATATCCCATTTTTTTTTTTGTCCTTTGGTGGCAGAGGTGGGTGGAGGGCCACACTATGTGTGCTATGCAATCCCCTACAAGTCCTCTGAAAGGTTGAGGTTCAATTCCCACAGCAGTAATTCTTCATTAATGCACACTTTTGCTTCCTTCCATCTCATTTTTTACATTTTCTGAGTTTACCTGTGAAATAAATGATCTGCACTCAAGTTATCTTCAGGTCCATTTTTTTTTTTGAAGATTTATTCGTGAGAGAGAGAGAGAGAGAGAGAGAGAGAGAGAGAGAGAGGCACAGACACAGGCAGAGGGAGAAGCAGGCTCCATGCAGGGAGCCTGATGTGGGACTCAATCCGGGGTCTCCAGGATCACACCCTGGGCTGAAGGCGGTGCTAAACCGCTGAGTCACCCGGGCTGCCCTTCAGGTCCATTTTTCGTGGAACTCAACCTAAGACCCTAGTTCTAATGGTCTTTCAAAAAGTATACGTGCAGCTAGCTCACCAATGATAACCTAGAATTCTCTGGCTTTATTGCCCAGCCTTAGTCCTGGATTGGAACTAAGTCTGTTTTGCCTCCTGACCAGCAGGGCTTAAGAGTATTTCCCAGTAACTCTCCAAGAAGTGGTTTCCTACTAATCCTGATTATACCTCCCATCCCCTGAGACTGTGTACCTTTTAGGGGGACAGGTGATACATGAGTCAAGCAGAGAGGAAATATAACCTTTACCGCTAATAAAGATGCCGTTGGAGAGCACGGCATACAGTTGTGAGCACTAACGATGAACCCCAAAATCAGGCAGGTTTATCCAGTCACAGACAGTGGTGGGTAACCACGGGCCTCCAACTTCAGAGGCAGAGCCTGCCACTCTATAAAGTTTGCAGAATGGAGGAGGAGAACAGGATGTGCTCTCTCTGTAGACAGATCCAAAAGAGAAAAAGGGGTGCAGGGAGGAAGCGGTTGAGTCATAGATGTCTAGTTCCTGTTCCAGTCAAAATTCATTCTCCTTGTTCATAGCAGTAACAGGAGAGCAGAAAGAAACCAAGCAAGTTATTGTTAAGAATTCCTTTTATTATGGAAACATGATGCTAGGGAAAGGGGTTTCCCCTTTCCAATACTCCCAGGGTTTTTGTTCTCATAGCTCATTGGGCTTAACCATTAAGCTCAAGGCCAACCAAGAGTGTGATCTTCTCCTTGGTAGAAGACCAGCAATCTATCCTGACAGTGCTGCTCCCACCATGAGCATATCCCCCTACTCTTCCCATCCGAATGGTTGAAAGAGAATAGCTATTGCCCTCACAAGGTAATTCAGTGAATGAAATAACTCCAGGGCCATGCTGAATCCCAGCTGAAAGTTTCCCATTTCACTCTGCAGTCCCAATTATGTCTAACTATGTCGTTTGGTCAGTCTATCAGAGGCTCTGAAAAGAGATTATGACGATGTAAAGATACTTCCATAGAAAAAAAGTCAAATATTGATGTCCACCGATTTAAATATGACCCCTCTACCATTGTGAATTTCCCAGGGAGAAAAAGTTAAAAGATTAGATTCTCTTATATGCTCGGGTTAAACTCATCCTTCTGATTGTGCTTGTTCTGAATTAGATGGGTTCTTCATGCCTTGGATAGCACTGTGGTTCTTTTAGCAACCTGGACAGGGTTTCACGAGAACCACCGGTGTGGCTTTTATCAGAATCTCAAAAGTTAAATTATACACCAAATTTCTGGCATACCTCACTTTTTAAAGGATTTTTTGAAAAAGATTTATTTATTTTAGAGAGAGTGAAAACTGAGGGAGGGGCAGAGGAGTAAGGGAGAGAGAGAGAATCTCAAGCAGTCTCTGTGCTAAGCATGAAGCCTGACTTGGGGTTTGATCTCACAACCCCGAGATCATGACTTGAGTGGAAACTATGAGTTGGACGTTTAACCAAATGCACCACACCCAGGTGCCCCTGGTATACCTCAGTTTTAAAAGAGTATCATCAAAATTCTTAACACCAACATACTTAAACAGAAGAAAACAAATCAATACCAAGATCTTTAAGTAATTACCAAGATAAAATGATGCTCCCAGAACACTGCACCTTCCATAACAGAGACTCAGTGGTATCCTGATTTCAGCTTCACCAGGATAGGATGCTCAAGTCCCTGACCTGTAAACTTAAACTCGATTGGGAGGAGTCTCCCCCAAGAGGTTAGCACTGGCAACATGCTTTAACCATTTCTGTGGGGAGAATTAACTGTTATTTCTCTCAGGGTGAAATATGGGACTGTAGGAGATCAGAATATGTCACCCCAATCTTTGCTACTCTGGCATAAGGATTATTTTGAGCCGAAGGCAACTGAGAAAAAGTAGGCATAGGATGACCTCTCTGTGGTATCCTATCTACCTGAAAACAAGATCCTAAATTCCCTTATGAAGGTATTTCCCCCCTCCTCTCAACATCCCCTACTTTCCATATCAGGAAGGGAACAAACAACTTTTATCACCAGAGATGGGATGGCACCTCCACCATTTAATAATCCCTTGAGAGTAGAGTACTTCCATCTGACTGATCCTCCCCTTTTGAACTGTCCAGCCTTTTGGGGGTACAGTTGGCATCGGTGTCCCAGCCTTTTAATGAGCACTTCCCAATAGTTTTTGGCAAGTAGTCTCTATTCTCTGTGTAGCTCTAAGAGAGTACTTTCCAGTAGTGGTCTATATTCTTGCTCCCTCTGAGAGTCAGCACAGTTGGCTGAAATTTTGCTTCTATTCTTGTTTGATTTTTTTGGGACCAAGTTATTATTTCTGAGCTAAAAAAAAAAAAAAAAAAAAACCCTCCAAAACATCTACTCATTTTAAAAATAACCTCTTACATGAGTTAAACCTAAGTACATCATCTTTTCCCTTTTAATCTGTCCTTCAATTTCATTTTTCCTCTTATATCCATCTGATCTGTTCTCTAAGATCTCAACTTTATCTCCAAAAAAATCTTTCTCCTTCACAAGCTTAATTATTCTTAATTTTCTTCTCATTCCTTCATTGTTCCTGTTCTAAAACTGAAGTACATTCTAGAAACACTAAAGATTCCCTGATTTCCTGAACAAATCTGATTCCTAGACACACAAGGTTCTAGGTTTAGGACTAACTACCTTCTTAATCTTTTAGAATAATTTAACGCAATAATTTAATGCCAAAAAAATTTAGGCATTTTCCATTATAGTAAGGCTTCTATGTCTTTGCTTTTCTCTCTCTCTCTCTCTTTTTTAAGATTTATTTTTTTTTAGAGTGGGAAAGGGGCAGAGGGAGAGAGTCCCAAGCAGACTCCCTGCTGAGAGCAGAGCCTGCAGTGGGGTTCAATCTCACGACTCTGAGATCCTGACCTGAGCCAAAACCAAGAGGTGGATGTTCAACTGACTGAGCTACCCAGGTGCTCCTTCACTGCTTGGTTTTTTTAATAAAAGACTGGTGTGGATATCTGCAAACCTGGAGGCTTAGAAATCTAAAGCCATGGTCAGAGCCTATTAAATTCACAAATCCAGTAAATTTTGGATCACATGGTGGGAGATTACTCTTGGGACTCTTGACAGGCCATATGACTTCAAGATTAGTCTTTGGGTACTGCCTACATAGGTTGGTATCAACAGTTGAAAACTAGAACTTCAAACTACAGTTCTCTACAGTACACATGCTGTGTAAAGACTGTAAAAGAAATGAGAGAATTAAAATATCATTTTGAAGACACTAGAAAAAAATAATAGATAACAATTACAATGAACACTAAACTAGTTAGATAAAAGACTGATGGAGAACTTTATAATGGTGCATGGACTGATACCTGAATGGACTATTAGCTCTAAAATCTCTATAAAACTGGCACATGGGGTATTATATGCCTGATATGATGCAACAACAGTACTTAAAGATTATTCTTGCAAAAAAATTTGTTTGAACACAAATTTACTGGAATTTCTTAAATCTACCAGTCTGCAGGGAAAATGGGTGATAGAGGAACATGTTAAATGATACAAAGAACATATGATCATCCAAATTCAGAAAGGGAGAGAAATGGCTCAGTTTCTTTAACAAAAAAGTGCCATTTCAAAAGGAATGGAACATGAACTGTATAGATTAAAAGACCCTTAAGAACCATGCCAACCAAATGCAATATATGGATCTCACCTGGGACCTGATTTAAACATACCAACTGTAAAAGCATTTAAGACTTACAGAAAAGTTGCTGTAGTATCAAGAATTGCTATATAACCTTCACCTAACCAAATGTTAACAATATATTACATTCACTTTAGCATTTTCTCTCTACATAATCACATTGTTTTTTTGAGAGTAAGTTGCAGCCAAAATGCTCTTTACCCCTAATTTTCACTGTGTATTAACTAAAGACAAGGACATTCTCATATATAACCACAGTAAAATTATCAAAATATGGAAATTAATACCAATTAACATTAGCTACAGACCTTATTAAAAGTGTACCATTTGTCCCACTAGATCTTTTACAGGAAAAAAACTCAGTCTTTGTTTTTCATGACCTGGACTTTTAAAGAATAAAGGCTGATTATTTTATAGACTGTCCCTCAACTTGGGTTTGACTACTATCTCTTTGTTATATTTACATTATGCATTTTTTGAAGAATTCCTCAAGCATGATGCTTTCTCTTCCTCAGTGCATCTAATCAGGAAACATACTATATTTTTCCTATAACCGATAATACTCAAAAGGACATTTTTGAGACAACTAGGGAAAACTGAAAACATAAGATATTAAGAAGTTATTGTTAATTTTGTTAGATGTCATAATGGTATGTATTTATGTTTTTTAAAAATGGCATTGATCTGTTAGTGATATATGCATTGCAGAAGACAAGAGGCTTGATGTCCAGTTATAGGGAGTTTGGTTACATTAGGCAGGAAGCAGTAATAATAATATAGTCAGATCTTGACTTTTCTGAAATAGTTTCCAATTTGTACATTCTCCAGGTCTTTGACCATTTTTCCTTTCTTTTGGTCACTACTTCTACAGTTTACACAAATAGTCAAATTTTGTGACTTGCTGGATGAAGAAAGAGTGTGGGAGAGGAGATTGAAATTACTGGCTGAAATTAACTTTATAAATAATTTGAACATTTCATTTCTTTGTGATTTGTATGTCTTCCTTATTTAAAAACTTTTTTTGGGGGGGGGATAATCTCTTCACCCAACATGGGGCTCGAGCTCATACCTGGAGATTGAGAGTCACATGCTCAACCACTTGAGCCAGCCAGGTACCCTGCAGGTCCTTCTTATTACAGATAATCAATCAAGTATAATGAAATGAGATCACTTATAATGATCATATAGTAGAGCTTTACAGCCAAAAATACAAAAAGTCCTCAGGTTATTTTTTGAAAAGTATTTTAAAAAAATTTGTTTCACCAAGGACTAACCCTTTGCTGATGTCCAAATTTAAACTATTTTTCTGAGTTTGTCTCATAAGAGAAAAACATGAAAAGTTGCTTCTGTGGTATTTTCTTCTAGTTTTTCAAGCCCTCATGTAGTAGCAACTGGTTCAAAATACTGCTTTGTTTCAAAGCATGCAGTTTAGATGTATCTTCACTGATGATGGCAATATTTCCATTTTGTTCCTGAGCCGTCAGGTCACTTTCACTATCAGACAGTGTACACAGTAGAGTGTCGTTTTCATAGGTTGGAAAATAATACCTGAAAACAACCACAGATACAGTGAATAATCAAACTATAAAATATCCAGAAAAGTTTCTAGGCAGTTGAACATACGCATTACTCTAATTCTGCTAAGTTTCCTTGCCCACAATTCCAACAGCATTTTGCAAAGGTGGTATGGGTGTCAACTTTGGAATTACTTTTACTTTAACCTTTATTGGCCGACGTCAATCTCACTAGCATCCTTGCTAGCTGCCCATTCAGCCTGTACTTGATGTACCCATAAAACTCACAATCTGGGAATGGCTGGGTGGCTCAGTGGTTGAGCCTTTGGCTCAGGGCGTGATCCTTGAGTCCCAGGATTGAGTCCCACCTCAGGCTCCCTGCAAGGAGCCTGCTTCTCCCTCTGCCTGTGTCTCTGCCTCTCTCTCTCTGTGTCTCTCATGAATAAATAAATAAAAATCTTTAACAAAATTGTTTAAGTACTATTATAGATTAGGCTCGATGCCCTTTGAAGAACACATCCCCACTGTAGGATTTCTTTTTCCTGATAAAACACAGAGTGTATCATACTTTTTATAGGCTATATTTATTGTTCCAATATAGCTACAAAGTAATTTTTCTTATTTCTGTGTAGGTACGGATCAGTGGACCAACTGCCTAACATTTATAAAATGCTAAGATGCAAAATATATACCAAAAGCTCTAATAGTTGTGCTTTGACATAGTAATTTTATTTCTAGGAGTTTATTTAAATGAAAAATTGGGTAAGTGTGCAATAAGATAGGCATAGGGATACTCATTGTATTACTATTTATAAGAGTAAAATGCAAGAAACAGACCTCAGTATCTAGCAAATTAGGGTATATCTACTGAATGGCATATTTGGCAATCATTAAAAATAATGCAACTGATATGTATTGATATAGAAAAATGCTTACAATATTGTTAATAAACTATAATGAAAAAAATCTATACCTCATCTTTATCTTCATGCCACAAAATCTGAGAGTTAGTGACATATAAAAGGGGGATTCCTTTTTTTTTTTAATTTAAAGATTTTATTTATTTATTCATGAGAGACAGAGAGAGAGAGAGAGGCAGAGACACAGGCAGAGGGAGAAGCAGGCTCCATGCAGGGAGCCTGATGTGGGACTTGATCCTGGGTCTCCAGGATCACACCCTGGGCTGAAGGTGGCGCTAAACCGCTGGGCTACCCAGGGATCCCAAAAGGGGGATTCCTTTAAAAATAAGGTTTTTGGGATCCCTGGGTGGCTCAGCGGTTTAGCACCTGCCTTTGGCCCAGGGCGCAATCCTGGAGTCCCGGGATTGAGTCCCACATCGGGCTCCCTGCATGGAGCCTGCTTCTCCCTCTGCCTGTGTCTCTGCCTCTCTCTCCCTCTGTCTCTCATGAATAAATAAGTAAAATCTTAAAAAAAAAAGTTTTCTAAGATTTTTGCTTTTTAAAAAAATAAACACATATTTCTCTTTTATTTAAGTTTGGAGAAATTGAATAAAGGAACAAATAAGGGATATGGAGTAAAGAAGTATATGTGTGGTTGAGTAGCACTCACTCTGGTTGATCCCAGGTCTTTCTTTCAGGAAGCAGTGATGTATGTTTAGCTTCTTCCATATGAGTCCTTAACTCTGCTTTGGATTTGAATTTCACATGGCAGCCATAACATCTACATTGGTGAATTTGTCTCCGAATGAAATTGACCAGTTTCACTTGCTGGTAGAAATTTAATCCTGAAAAACAACAGTTCATACAATCTTTAGAATCAGTCAAACTCATTTTTGCACTGTTATGATTTTTTAAAGGAGCCACTTGTCTTTCTCTTTTAAAAAAGGTTTTATTTATTTGAAAGAGGGGGGGGGAGAGAGAGAGAGAGAGAGAGAGAGAGAGAGAGAGATATGAGCAGGGAGAGGGGCAGAAGATGGACAAGCAGAGTCTACACTGAGTGTGGAGCCCAAGGCAGGGCTCAATCCCAGGACCCTGAAATTATGATCTGAGCCAAAGGCAGACAGTTAACTAACTGAACCACCCAAGTGCCTGAGTCACTTCTCTTTATTAACCAACCTGAAGAGGCAGTCTGATTACAAAGCATAATAATAGATACCAAACTATAACAGCCAATACTTTTATAGGGCTTATGTGCTAGGCACTGTTCTAATCAGTTTCCATGTATTAATACGTTTAGCTTTTGCAGAACTCTACCACATAGGTAGTATTATCATAGCCACATATTAGGAAACTGCCCAAGGTTGAATAGCCAGTGGGTGGGTAGAACCAGCATTTGACGTACATACATGTCTGTAAGAAGAGCAAAGAAAAGTAACACATACCAGAGTCTAGGAAAGCAGTCAGTGAGCTGAGGAATGGGAAGTAGGCTTTCTACTGTCTTTGATCCATTAGCGAGTCAGTAATTTACATCTTCATGCCCCTAATCTTTCCATCATAGTGATACTGAGAATGATGCAACTGGGTACATCTGTGATAAATAAATAATCCAGCTACACTGCCAAGCAGTACAGTAGGTGTTTTATATACATTATCTACTCCCTGTCACATTCTGTTGACCTGAGGCCTTATGTCACACAGCCAGTAAGTGCTGGAGCTGGAATATGAACTCTAGTCTGACATCAAAATCCATGGTCTTTCCATTAGCCCCTTCCACTTTATTTATGATGGATACTAACCGGGAGCTTGTATTTTATTTGAAGCATTCATATATGTAGGAAAGAAGAAAGACCATATGAAATAAAAAAACATACTTGAATATTACAGTTCAAAATGGTTGTGAATCACCGCTTCAGGCGGTCCCATTGAGACCATCTGTGGAGAGACACATTTTGGCTGTGCACTCTCCCATCACGACACCGAACACAGGCATCGCTTACAGGATGGTGTATAAAAATGCCACATCATGGAAAACAACTTCTGAATCAAACTCACCAAGTTCTGACTTTATTTTGAGGAGATCAAACTCGTGAGCATCCTAAAAAAAGGAATGAATATCTGTGAGCATATAAATTATTTAATCTTTCAGGCTGAAGTTATAAACAGACGGCTTATTCATAGGAGTTTGAACACTGTTGAAACTCGTCTCAGTTCATCATGTTCTGCTTTTGAAGTATTCGAAATATAACTACTTCCCCCCACCACATCCAACTACTTTTTAAAGCACAGTCCAAACAAGTCATGCCAATCAGTTAAAACATTTTAATTATTCACAGTTTGTATCTACAGTTTTCACAATTTACTGTGTATGCATTCTGCAGTCTGACAAAAGTGTCCTCAGTCTCTAGTAAGATGTGGCCCTACTTACTAGTACTGTGCGCCTGGACTAGAATTATGGATATAGGTCCTTGCTACACAAGCACATAGGTTATTTTACAAATCTGCTTTTCGTTTTATGCTGTCAAATATACGGTTTAATGCAAATTTCTCCTCACTGATATCTTATCATAAATTACATTTCTTTTGATTTTTACGATGCAGACTTATTCTGCTCTACTCCTGTAATCGTCCAACTGGGTAAATGTTTGAACTTAAAAGCTTACAGAGAATAAAGACCATCCAACTCCCTATGAAGGCATTAGTGTAACATCAGAGGCAGGATAATTAGGAATTCCATGATAGTTCATGATTGAAAGCGACTGAGTAGAGGCCGAGGACACAGGTCAAGGACGTTGCAAAGGGAATTCCTACACAGGGTAGGGGGTACTAAGACTCCTTTCAATTCAAAGATATTAGGATATTATGAACTAAATTTAAATACTGGTAACTATATAACTAAATACTGGTAACTGGTAACCCACATACTACTAGCAACCTGTTTCAGAAAAAAAGACTGCTTTTGGAGGGGTAAATGCTCATGGCCTTTTAAACACCTTCTAGTTTTTTTATTTCATGGAACTAGGAACAGTGTTTCTGAATGAGAGTGGGGAGAAGGTGGGTGAAAGAGGACAGTCTATATGACGGTTGGCAGAGATGGCTGGGGGAGGGTATGGACAGCATATTAGAATCATCCAGTATAATATTCTTTATATTCAAATCACCCCTCTACCCTCAAGCTGCGATACTGTCAAGACTCATTAGATGTTCCCCCTTTCCACCACCACTGTCCAGCTGAGGATCAGCGATATTGGTAATGTGTCATCTTTCAGATATACTGGGGTAAAAAGAAGATTTTGTTTCAAGCTTCATTATAACATAAAAATGGCATCCACAGAAGGGAACACACAAATTGGAAATGCCCTCAAATATCGTCCCTCCAAATCCTTGTGACTGAAGGAGCTTGCACAGCCACACTCTGTACTCTCTTTGCCCACCCCGCTCCCCCCATGCTCTACTATTCCATTTCCTTTTTTTTAAAATTTTTATTTATTTATGATAGTCACAGAGAGAGAGAGAGAGAGAGAGGCGCAGAAACATAGGCAGAGGGAGAAGCAGGCTCCATGCACCGGGAGCCCGACGTGGGATTGGATCCTGGGTCTCCAGGATCGTGCCCTGGGCCAAAGGCAGGCGCCAAACCGCTGCGCCACCCAGGAATCCCTACTATTCCATTTCCATCAAGGGCTTTGTAAATGGAAGTTTCTCCCTTCCTGCTTTCTTCATTCACCAGCACAGAAAGCAGTGGAAAAAGACTCAGAACCTGTCCATATCTTGAGTACTGTTAATCATGGTTATAGGTCCCACATTCTAAGCTAAAATTATCTCATGAACATCTCAGAGGTAGGATGGCATCAGTGGTCTGTGAAATCCCACCCTAACAGTTCACACCCATCCAGGGCAATGTACTAAATTGCCCTGAGTTCTGGTTCTTCTTGATGGTTCTGACCTGTCTCTTCTGCTTTGCTTATAGCACTTAAAAGAAACAAAAAAATTTATTCATTTATTTATTTGACAGAGAGAGTGAGGGAGGGAGGGAGCGCACGGGGAGGGTCCGAGGGAGAGAATCTTTCAAGCAGATTCCACGCTGAGCAAGAGCCCAACTTGGGGCTCTATCTCATAAATCTGAGACCGTGACAGGAGCTAAAACCAAGAATTGGATGCTTAACTGCCTAAGCCACCCAGGCACTCTGCTTACAACACTTTTAGGAATAGGATAGTGACAGAAATTTCATATATATGCTGTAAGATTACAATCATGATCAGCTTTCCCCTGTCAGAACAAAACAAAATTCAAATGAGTAAAAGTATCTCACCTCCATGTGGACACATAATTTCTCAATTGTTTCTGCTTGCTTTTCACAAAATAGGCAGACAGCAGAGTCAGGGTGTTCTTCCCAATCAGACCAATCACTGTGTTAAAAAAAAAAAAAAAAACAGCAAATAGGGAGATTCCCCTCATTAAAAGGGTGTACTACACAGTCACTTGGTATTACTTCCTCCTCCCTGGGAAGCCCTGCCAATCTCAACTCTGACATTTTTGTAAAGACTGTCACATCATATTATGACTCCTTGATATAGCTTTTGAAATTCAAAGCAGCACCATGAAATTAATATAAATAGCGAACAGGTGCTGCTCCATTTTCTTCTATTTGCTTCTCTTCTGAGCAACTATTTCACTACAGAATCAGTATAATGCTTTTCTGAGACAACTAGGTTTAATTTGCAAAGGAGGCATATCAGTAGATGCGATGCTGTCTCTCATTAGCCACAACCACTAAGTACGCATGCTGTGAGGTGCAATGCTGGGAGTGTGTCTCTCTCTGCATGACAAATGGTGTGTTTTAAAAAGGCAAACCGTACATCCTTCATGTGAGAAATACTCATCATTTTAAATGGGCAAATGTTAAATCTGGTGGTAGACAGAGAAGTCAAAAAACATACAGAACTCATGTTACTAATCCTGCCTACCCCCCACACCCTGCATTTATTTTTGAGACACTGCCAACTTCTTGTCATTCCTAAGCCTGGAAAATTGAAATCCCAAGAGAGGAAAAAAGGCTAAACAGCTTTGAAGGAAAAGAGAATGAATAGCAGGGAATCCTTTTAGTTGAAAAGAACACTTCTCAAGCTTGTAATTCCAAGGAAAGAAGCTGCGAATGTTTTAACTAGGTCAATGGGATGCACATGGAACAAGGCTAACTTGAATTCCGTTATATTCTCTATTTCAATGACAAGCAGCGTGGAGAAGCCAAAAGTCGTATCACTTCAAGGTCTGGGTACTATTGGTGAGCAAAACACCAATGGAATGTATTCTTCTCTGAATTATATTTTATCTGTGTTTTTAATTAACAGTTTAAAAATTATTTTATTTTAAAAAAGATTAATTTGAAAGAGAGCACGAGAAAGTGAGAGGCAGCATAAGCGAGGGAGAGGGCATGGGAGGGACTGAGGGAGAGAGAGAAGCAGATGCCCTACTCAGCAGGGAGCCTGACATGGGGCTCAATCCAAGGACCCCAGGATCATGATCTGAGCCAAAGGCAGATGCCTAACTGTCTGACCCACCCAGGACTCCAGGATCCTAAATTTAAAAAATTTTTTATTCATTCATTTTTAAAGATTTTATTTGAGAGAAAGAGAAGAGGGAGAGGGACAAGCAGACTCTACACTAAGCAGACCTTGACATAGGGCTTGATCTCATGATCCTAAGATCAAGACCTGAGCCAAGACCAAGAGTCAGATGCTCGACCAACTGAGCCAAGGCACCCCTCAATTAACTGTTTTAATGACAAAACCGTATTTAGTTGGAAATAAGTGCTTTAGTGATTTTACTTTGAATTCAAGCTTTTGCACTATTACATGGAAGGATGCACGGTTCAGAGAGAAAGTTTTCTTCGTTTCTACTCTCTCTCCAGAATAATAATTTTAAACCCAACTAAAGAAATGTTTTCCTCCTCTTAAAACACAGCAATTAATTAGCAGTTATAAGAAGTCTTACTCTTCCTGATGGTCTAGCAACTCCCGATCATCTTCCAATTGAACTTCCTCCCACGATTTTCCAAGTTCCTTTTGTGGGAAGAACAGAAAAATTAGAGATGGAAGGAGCAAGAGGAAGAGGAGAAAGGAGAGAAAATAGGCATAGACCTAAAAAAAAAAAAAAAGCCACCATAATAAGCCCACTCAAAAACACATACACTCACTGGTTTTAAATCAATACAAGTAGGATTTATTAAGTTATTTCAGTGACAAGGAAGGATGTATCCTAATTTTTTTTTTTTTAGATTATTTATTGATGAGAGACAGAGAGAGAGAGAGAGAGGCAGGGACACAGACAGAGGGAGAAGTAAGCTCCATGCAGGGAGCCCGATGTGGGACTCGATCCCGGGACTCCAGGATCACACCCTGAGCCGAAGGCAGGTGCTAAACTGCTGAGCCACCCAGGGATCCCCTAAAATGTTTTTTAATATGTTTTTCTTTTTGGAGAAGCAGCAATATTCTTTCAAATTCCTTTCTCTTAAATCTCAACCCTGGATGCACATTAAAATCTCTTGATGGGGATCCTAAAACAGCCACTTAGCTGGCTGTTTCTCCTTGAGGTTCCCTGTATCACACAGCAGCCACAGTGATCTTTCTAAAGGACACTTCCCTGTTTGTATAAACCTTCCCATGGCTTCTTCTTCTTCTTTTTTTTTTCTTTTTAAGATTTTACTTATTCGTTCATGAGAGACACACACACACAGAGAGAAAGAGGCAGACACAGACAGAGGGAGAAGCAGGCTCCATGCAGGGAGCCTGATGTGGGACTCGATCCCCGGTCTCCAGGATCACATTCTGGGCTGAAGGGTGGCGCTAAACCACTGAGCCACCCGGGCTGTCCAAAAGTCCCATGGCTTCTTACCACACTTAGAACAAAATTCAGAAGCCTTATCATGGCCTGTAAGATCTGTACGTTCTGCCTTGGCTCTTTTTCCATCCTTTATGTCTCACCACTTTTTCTCTGGCTCAGTTTGCTCCAGACAGATCAGTGTCTTTGCTATCCCTTAAACACAGCAATCTCCCCGCTACCTGGCTACTTCTGGACTTGTTGCATCATCTGCCTCAACATTGCTCTCTCATAGAACTACGTGGCTCAGTCCTTGGGGCATCTGCTTAAATGTTACCATCTCTTCTTCTAACTATTCTGTCTAAAACAACATCTCTCCTCCCAGTTACTTTTTATTCCCCTGTGATTTTTTTTTAAAACATCAATCATTTCCTGAAATCAATTCTGTATATCTATGTGTTTTCTTACTTGCTGTTTATTTTCTCCACCAGAATGTCCCTGAGGACATGGACTTTGTTCATTGTTACATTTCCAGAGCCAAGCATATATAGTAAGTACTAGAAAGTGTTTTTTAAACTGAACTGTAACTGAAAAAATCTAAAAATTCAATGCCAATTTAGATCCGGTCTCAAAAGGTTTTTGTAAGGTGATTAAATAAATTAGCTAATGTATAGGCATACCTCAGAGATATTGCAGGTTTGGTTACAGACTACCACTGTTAAGGAAAGTCAAATGAATATTTTGGTTTCCCAGTGCATATAAAAGTCATGTTTACATTACACTGCAGTGTTATTATGTGCACAAGCATTATGTCCAAAAAAATAATGTATATGCCTTAATTAAGTATTGCAGGAATTACCGACTCAGAGACACAATGTGAGCAAATGCTGTTGCAAAAATGGCACTGATAGATTTGCTCAACATAGGATTGCCACAATCCTTCAATTTGTAAAAATGTATGCCTGCCCTGCAAAGCACAATAAAGTGAAGTGCAATAAAACAAGGTATGCCTGTATATAAAGTATGTGGCACCAGGCAATAGTAAGTACTCAAATATCTACTTCAGTCCCTTTTCTTCTCTTACAATTTCACCTACTCAGGGCTTTGTCTGGCAAATTTAGTTATACTTTTAGCAAAACTTTATGGAGTAATGAGCAGGAATGATTTCTTTTGGCCTAATCATCTATCTTTTCTATTCTTGAATCATTTGTTCATCTTTCTTTTCTTTTTCTCCATCTGATTTCCCCACTGTGACATGCAAAAGCAGACATTACACTAAAGAAGGATGTAAGAACAAAAATGCACACCTTTCCAAGCAGCTAACCTATGGTTACAGTCAGGCGCAACCTGACCTGCTATAAATATAGATATCCTTGTTTGATATTTCTCTTTTGAAAAAAATAACTAAAATTTACTCTTGGGGCACCTGGGTGGCTTAGTGGTTGAGCATCCTCCTTTGTCTCAGGTTGTGATCCTGGGGTCTTGGGATTGAGTCCCGCATCAGGCTCCATGTGGAAAGCCTGTGTCTCCCTCTGCCTATGTCTCTGTGTCTCTCATGAATAAATAAATAAAATCTTAAAAAAAAAATTTACTCTCAGTTTTGAACATTTTTTTTTCCTTAAAAAAAAAAAAGGTATTCATTTAACAAAAAAACAAAGAACTACGAGGTCCATTATGATTTAGGGAAAAAAGAAAATCTATCATTCATCAACTTAATGAGAGGTTTTGAAGCTGTCATTATCTATCAGCTAAATGATGCATAAATTCAGACATGCAGAGATTTACCATAATGTCATTAGAGACAGTTAATTTGGGCTCTATAATGTACTTTTCAAAGTTGCCATGAAGTGTCTGGACCTCATTATGGACACCAAGAATGGCTTCAACAATGCCAACAGGATCTGTTAGTTGGAATTTTTGGTGATGAATTAAATCTTTCATGGATTACTTGGTATCTCTGGACTTGTACTTTAAAGTCATTGCTGCAAGATATTATTCAAAGAAGGGCCATCAGTGGTATTACCATTTTCAATATATGGACAAATGTTGCTTATCGATAGATGTTTTGGTCAAAGAGACTTAAAATATCTTTCAGTATCAAACTTCCAAATCCAAAGCACTATTTTGAGTATTCTAAGTATTCATTATAACATGTAGGGATTTTCCTAGGCAAGAGCACTAGTCGTTTACCACTTGAGAGGAAAATGGAGCTTGCTGCTCACTAGTGTATTAAGAAACAAGTGATTTGCATGTGACATGGCTCAGACTTTCCTAGAATGCTCTGCATGTATAGTCATATATATATGATTTATTATAGGAACAAGACCCAAAAAGGAAAAAAAAAAAAAACCCAACGCACAGAACTCTCTAATTAAGATGATGTGCCTGCTAATGAATCATGTTAGGAAAGCAAAGATTTCAAGAAAAACAAAGTTTGGAAAGCATGTCAGTAAAGATGTTCAGCACACCCCCTCAACCCCCTGCATCAGATGGTTTATGATCAATGAGAGGGCAGACAAGAAAAACATATAAAAAAAAGAAATCTCCTTCACTTAGCATCTCCACCACTCCAACACATACACTTATAGGTACTTATACAAAAAAATCCGTTATAAACAGAGAAAGAAAAGTGTTTTTAAAATTTTTTCAAATTTTTATTTAAATTCTAGTACGTTGAGAAATGTTTTAAATGGAGGTACTTGGATGGCTCAGGTCATGATCTCAGGGTCCTGGGATAGAGCCCCAGTGTTGGTGTCAGGTTCCCTGCTCAGCAGGGAGCCTGTTTCTCTCTCTCTCTCTCAGCAGGGAGCCTGTTTCTCTCTCTCTCTCTCTCCCTCTGCCCCTCCCTGCGCTGCCCACTTGACTCCATTCTTTTTCAAATAAATAAATAAAATTTTCTTTTTAAAAAGTGTTTTAAATATAAATAATTTCGGTAGAAAGAACTATACTAAAGCTATGAAAAACAGGTGAAGAGCTTACTTTTGTTACAAATGGCTTTGTATATCTTAAGAATAAAAAATATAAATAAAAAATGGTAACACCACTGCAAAAATAGTTTCCTTTAGGGAAACCTCAGGGCTTGAAACATGAACACCTTAGGAATAGGTAGCTCAGTCACCATGCACATGGTGTGTTGCCCTCTGAGGCAGGGGCATCTGAATGTGAAACTGCCTGGGAAATTGTCCCCCTGACCATCTCCACTATCCCCGGACTCCTTTTGTTTGTGAGAAAACAAAGAAAGAATCCGTAGTAGGTAATCTAGAGTATGCATAGTGACTTTTTATGTATTTACAAGTCTGTTACTATTCTAAAATTATTAAACATATTAATTATTAAATACAGAAATTATCTCACCTAAGGAAGAAAAAGGAATCTGTCAATTTGCCGAGCTCAGAGAAAGGTCAAAAACAGCTTCTGTCCCTTAGCTCTCCCACCTTTGATGACTATGAGAGTGCATCTTGCCAGGAATATCCTGGATGCTGCCATCACTGCTGGCCTGGAGATTCCATTCCAAGTGGATGTGAGGAACTCTGTGGGCACGTATCTGCTACAGGAGAGGTCCCAGCATTAACTCTGTGCACCCTATTCCAAGGTGCTGAATTATGTGCTCACATGTCCCTCTCTCATACCAACCTCTAAACTCTCGGAGTAGTGACTTAAATTAATCACCTGGTCTGTAGTATTTTTCTTTCTATTCCACCAGCATCTAGTACTGGAAGGCACTCAAATGTGTGTAGAATGTATGAAGCCAATGAAAGTGAAGCAGGGAAGAGGACGTGAGAAATGGAATGTGCAGAGCCTGACAGCTAGTATAACAGTTCTTTTCTCTGGCCCACATTCATTGCTCATGTCACTTGTTCCCTCAGAGGAATACACAATGAGTGTCTCTCCATGTTTTTTCCCCCCTTTTTAAAACTAAAGCAATGTCATTATTCATTGCTTAAGTAAACTTTTAGAATTTATTCTTCATATTAAATATTTTTGTGAAATAATAAGTATTTTCATTAGTGGGGTCTAAAGGAAAACTAAAATAATGCTAAGCAATCTCACATTTTCCTCTAACTACACATACTAGTATTTGGAACAGTCTTTTATATACTCATTCCATGTATTATTATACCTTTTATCTACAATACTCAGGATGGTATTAAGGTTGATACTTCTGGTAAGCACTTCTCTATGTGAGGACAATTCAACATCTTTAGAGACTTTATTAGCTTCTTTAATTCTTTTCTAAGGTAAGTTTACATCATTTCCAAAATGCTAAGATTAATCATAATACATTTTAGGTTTTGTTTTTTAATTCATTCTTCTTCTTGTGTGCTATTACCTCAGTGGGAAAGCATACAGGGCTAAGAAGGTTAAAGTTGTGGGTCAGAGCCCTTGATGAGCTTATTAGAGTTGGCTTTACTTTGACCTTGACTCATTTTCTAGTCTGGTACAAAAGAGAACAGGCAGGAGGTGGTGAATAGATCATTATGAATTCATCACTATTACTTGACCAAAAACCAACTAAAAAACTAAGGTAGGTACCTTATTTCAACCGAGGAAAAACTGAAGGAAATTGATACACGGAGACGTTAAGTACCTTGCTCTAACTCTGTGACTCTGGGAAAAGATTTGTGCCTCGTTCCCAAATCTATAAAATGGGGATAATGATAAAACTTGTGACATATGGGTACGGTTAAGAGTAAATGACTTAAAGAAAATACCCAAGACAGTGCCTGACACTTAGCAACTAGTCAAATGCTGCCAGTTAAAAGAAATAATTACTTCTATCAATATTCTCCTAAAATGATTTAATTTTCATTTTATATATTGTTAAAGTCCTTATATTCTCTTGAAACACTTCTCTTAAGCTATGATTCATGCCACATCATATCTGGGCACTCAGTGGGTAGTATAATCTAGCACACTCATCTAGAGACAGCTGGTCCTTGCAGATAATTTCAGTTTTGACAGACATACTACTTGATGCCCAGAGAATAAAGTGTCATAATTTTCTAAAAGTACCAGCAGAATTTGAGTGAACAGTCCCTTTGAAGTCTCCTCTAAAGGTAAATACCTCCAGCTATATATATAATGTTCTGCTTGTCCCAAGCTCTTGAATATTATTTTAAAAGATCCCCAGAAGGAAGTACTATCAAATTGCTTCCACAGCTTTCTGCAGTAGCTGGTATTTCCTAGAGCTAACACTGAAGTCCACTCCCCACTGGATATGGCTGGGCCCTGAAGCGGCGTTTGTTCTAGGAATTAATGACTGAGTGATTTCAAGGGAAGATTGAAGGATTCCAAGAGTGCCTTTGCCTTTAGCTGGTTGTAAAACATTTGTAGCAGATCATGGCAACTTCTTAGAGTCAATCTTTAAACACATGTCAAACTTGGTTCTCAAGGGGAATTTCATTTTAACGCCTTTTAAAAGGATTAGTTAGAACAGACAAAAATTCTACCCCAAAGCTGAGATTTCCAACATATTTCTGGATATGCTTGTTTCTGTCCAATAGATAAAATGGTTATGTCTTCTGTGGCCATGAGTTTGGATTCTAATTCATTCCTATTGAGAGGAAAAAAATAGTTTCCATTTGCTTAAGAAAAGTGTCAGAAGCAACTCTTTTTCTACTAATTCCAGTGGAGAGTTACTTAATCCTTTTCTTTACACGAGTGGATTCTCACCTTTGTTACGTACACCCCAAATTCAGCAGTAGCACAGGACCCATAGCACTTCCAGTCACTGTGTCAGACAAAATCCTCTCTTAAATTATTTTTCTTTTTAAAGGTTTTAAAAATTTATTTGAGAGAGAGAGAGCATGAGCAGGGAGAGGGAGAAGCAGGCTCCCCACTAAGCATGGAGCCCTAAGTGGGGCTCAATCCCAGCACCTTGGTCACGACCTGAACCAAAGGCAGATGCTTAACGGACTGACACCTAGATACTCCTTCCCCTCTTACATTTCTAGATGCCCCCCTAGTGATACTTGCCTCCAACTGGAAATCTTCTTAACCAAAAAGGTCAGCAAATGGTATTGAAGTTTCTGGGCAAGGAAGGCTTTCAATGTATTTAAAACCCTTGATATGGTAACACCTTTATAACATTCTATTAGCCAAACAAATCAGTGTCCTTCTGCCTAGTGAAATGACTTGTTTTCTCTAAAATTTCCACCAAAGGTAAGCTGGCCAAGGAGGATAATAAGGGTTTTTTTTTTTTAATGGGGAGAGAGGGAGGAATGAAGAGAATTTTTTTTTTTTTAAAGGGGTGTGGGAGGGGCAGAAGGAGAGGGAGAGAGTCTTAAGGAGGTTCCATACCCAGGGTGTGAGCCTGGCTTGATCTCACAACACTGTGATCATGACCCCAGCAGCAATCAAGAGTCAAATGTCCAACCAAATGAGCCACCCAGGTGCCCTATGAAGAGATTGGTTTTTGAAGAGTTATCTAGCATAGAATACCTAGCATATCTGGAGGTCAAAAGATGTTTTTGTTTTTTTTTTTTACTGGAATATAGATGTCTATGGACTCAAGGTAATAGAACAAATGGGAGGGAGTGTATAGATATCCAAATACTTTCAATTTGTTATTATTTTTTTTTGGTCCAGATCACTATGAATTCTAGAGAAATGACATTTTTACTGTGTAAACATCTGGCAAATCAAAGACAAATCAAATCAAGTTATGTTCTGTAAACTAACCATTCTGAAGCTAATCATTGCTCGGAAGTGTCCCTTGATTACATTTTGACCTTTATACTAATTGCTTGTTTAAATATTAGACAGCCCTTAGAAAGATTTTTGTCTATGGAAATTCAATCAAATTTTAAATTGTGAAGAGGAAGCCTTACCAAATAATTGATGACATAAAATCGGTCATATTCTCTGTTCTTAGGATTAATTCTCCGATGCTGTTTTTTCCTCATATGGTCTTTAAGTGTATTTTTGTCCCTGAAGGTCTTCTCACAGTATAAGCACTGCAAGCTAAAACAAATACACAAACTCTGACAAAATACACAAGTCTCTTGGACAGTTGATGCAGAAGTCCTTAATTTTTAAGTCTTAAGATTATTTATTTTAGGTCACACAGAATCTTCAAGCAGAATACGACATCCTTATCAGAACCTGTCTTACTTCATTCATTCAGTTTTGTGGGATGCAAGCTTGGTTTGTTTGTTTGTTTGTTTGTTTATTTATTTTGCTTGGTTTATTTTGTAGTTGGCTACATTGGCCAACTTGGCTATGTACTTACTTCATGCTGTGACAGAGATAGCTAATATCCAAAAGTTATTTTGTTTTCTAATCGAATTATCTCTTCTAAAAATGAAAATGTAGGTATGTTCTTCAATTATGGTAACTAGCAGTGGCTGCCTCCATTGAGTGCAACAAATTAGTCCATGGTTTGGTATATCCTGTGACTAATTTGCAGGGTTTAATGCCTAGTTCCAGTACATACTGGCTGTGAGACTTGGTCAAGTTACTGGTCTGCTCTGGTGACATTCATTTTCTAGCAAAAACGAACATATTACTAACAAAATGTCTTTCCTAACCTAAGTCTGACAGCAGATTCTGCCTATCACTTCTCCCTATCAGTCATTAGAGTTCCACTTTTTGGAGTCACACAGATTATATCTAAGCTCCTTCTACATGAAAACTCTCAAATGAGTGAAATCAGTTGTTTCAATTTCAAATTCTTTTGTCATCACTACTAAACATGCTTTTAACCATTTCTTGTGTCACAGAAATAACTATATTCTTTTACAGCAAGTAATTTATGGCATTAAAAAAGATTATGCTAAAAAAAGATTATGCAAATCTTGATAGAAAGTACAACTGTTACTTTATAAATGAAGTATCATTTAATAAGCGTGAAAGGACTTGTTTTAATGTAGTGTTGATATCAGAATTTGAACTCAGAACTTTTAATAAGTGATCTATATCATTTAATATTTCTTTTGTAATGTTATTGTTCCCAATATTGTGAGCTGAGATTTCATTAAAAAAAAAAAGAAAATAAAAGAAATATATATATATATATATATATATATATATATATATATATATATATATATAGGCACCTGGGTGGCTCAGTTTGTTAGGCGACAGACTCTTGATTTTGGCTCTGGTCATTCAAGGGAATTAGTAATGTTATATTTCTTTTTAAAAAAGATTTATTTATTTATTTGAGAGAGAGAGTGCGAGGGAGAAAGCACATGCCCATGAGCATGCATGGGAGGGGAGAGGGGCAGAAGGAGAGAGAGAATCTCAAGCAGACTTGACCCTGAGATCGTAACCTGAGCTGAAATCAAAAGTTGGATTCTTAACTGACTGAGCCATCCAGATGCCCCTGTTCTATTTCCAGGACAGATGGAGAGAAGTAATTTTATTAATTACTTCTGCTAGATTAATCTTAAAAAGTTCACAACAGACAATTAAAAAAAATTCCCAACAGAGTCCAAAATTAAAATAGCTTCAGGTTGTGTTTCATGGAAAAAAAATACTTACTTGTCCAGCTTTTTCTGTAATGTGCATAGAAATTCATTGCAGTTTACAATGTTGTCTGGCAATCCAATGTTGAAAGCATGTTCTCTGGCCATGTGGTTTAAAAGAACAGATCTAGGAACAAATGTGAGCAATTTATATTATTTACGAACCATCTAGTAACAAATCAGGTTAGGAATAGCATTTTTTAAAAAGATTTTATTTATTTGACAGAAAGAGAGCACAAGCAGGGGGAGCAGGATTGGGAGAAGCAGGACCCTGGGATCATGACCTGAGCTGAGGCAGACACCCAGCTGACTGAGCAACCCAGGCGCTCTTGGAATAGCATTTTTATAATGATAACACTAATCAAAAGTACATGCAAAGGTTAAACACTAAAACACACATTTGGGCTATAAAAGACTGGTTCATTATCAAGTACTTAAGTATACACACAATCACAACAGTTCTTTAAGGTGGGTTAAGTGCATTCCATTATCTGCTAGTGGACAGGAATATACTCTATAGATGAATTCATTCATCTATAGATGATTCATTATAAATGAATTAAACTGTTAAATAAACTGTGCTTTGCCTACGTTTCCAATTCATCCTGGTGAGGAGGAAGGGACAACTGCCAAAGGGAAATACGCCCTGTACTGCATGTCCTGGGATCACAGACATTTAATCAGCTCACTATCTGAGACCTGGAACCCACCATTAACACATCTAAGTACATCCAAGTACCATAACCTGAATACACCTATGGCAGCCTGTTGATTAGTTTATTTCAAAAGGAAAATTTTAATTTATCTAAGTTTTACCTAGCAAAATGTCTGTGTGTAAAATATATTATTCGACTGGGTCTTTATCACAACTTTATTTTTATTTATTACTTTTTAACATCTATTTATTTAAGACTTTATCCATTTATTTGAGCATGAGTGAAAGAGTGCACATAAGAAGGGAGGAGAGGCAGAAGCAGAGGGAGAAAGATGCCCCGCTGAGTAGAGAGCCTGCGGGCTTGATCCCAGGACCCTGAGATCATGACCTGAGCTGAAGGCAGATGCTTAACCGACTGAACCACCCAGGTGCTCCTTAAGTTAGTTAGTATGTTTGTGTGTGTATTCATTCATTCATTCATCCATCCATCCATCCATCCATCCATCCATCCATCCATTCTTTCATTCTCTACACCCAACATGGGCCTTCAACTCAGGAGCCCAAGATCAAGAGTGGCATGTTCTTCTGGCTTAGCGAGCCAGGCACCTTCTTTATTATTTTAGTTCATAAAATAAAGATGACAGTTTTGGGGAACTTACTGGTACTTACTGGTACAGAAACTACTGACACAGTGACACATTATACAGTTTATCTAGCTTACTTAGACACTCAGCTGGCCCTCAAATCAGTTTTTTAGGGTTATTTTTTTCTTTTAGAAAATAAAATGAAGCAACCATCTCTATGAAAATGTTGATGTTTTTTGACTATGTAGGAGTCACATTTATTAATCACATAGTTAAAATGCTCTTTGGGCTAGCCACTTATTTATTGCTGATAACTCTGAATAAACCAAGTATTTCACAGTGCGTTTGGTACAGATTTTTCTCTATGCCAATTGCCCTACAGAAGAATCAGTGTTTTAAACATTGTGTTGCCACAAACCATTTTTCTAAATTCAAATTAATACTGTATCTGTAGCTACCCTCTTCTATTTTTTTTTAAGCTACCCTCTTCTTATTGTTTTTCAGATAACAGTATCAGTTACTATGGTAGGTTTTTTGTTTTTAATACAGTAGACTGCCTTTTTTGAAGTGGGCAGAAAAATGACACTTTTCTGATTGTCCACTTTATGTTGCCAGTTCCTAGGGGTTACAACTTTATAACTTGTATTTAAGTGATATACATTTGTAATATTAAATGCTGTGTAATGAGAAATCTGTCTAGTCTTTGTCCTTGGTTCCTGGCACAGAGCTTCTAAAATCCTTGGAATTTCTCTGCGATAGGATTAACTTTGTTATGCTGACAAGGCAACTAACTGAAGGCCCTTAGTTAGCTTTACAACGGGGGCTGGTCAACAGAAAGACTAACCACATGATTAGAAGGTAGAGATTTTGACCAGCCTGAACTCCAGAGAGAGACGGGGTCTGGAAATTAAGTTCAATGACTGAATCAATCATGCTTATGTCATAAAGCCTTATTAAAAATTCTGGACATCAAAGCTCAGTGATGATTCTTCGCTGGTGAATACCTTGATGTGCTGGGTGGGTGACGTGTCCTGATTCCTCGGGAGAAAGGGCTTAGAAGCTCTGAGTTCAGGACCCTCCCAGAACTTGCCCTGTGTATCTCTTCATTTGGCTGTTCCCAACTTCTTCACTTGGCTGTTCCTTTATAACAAAACTGCAGTCATACAACTTTCTTGACTTTTGTGAATCATTCTGTAAATTATTGAACTATGCAAGTTACTGGTGAGAATTTGTGAATTTTTAGCCAGTTGGTTAAGTGAACTTGTAGCTGGTATCTAAAATGGAGGCAGTTTTGCTGGGGATGATACCCTTTAATCTGCAGAGCCTAATGCTAACTCTGGGCAATTAGTGTTAGAACTGAATCATAATCTGCCAGCTGGTTTAGGACCCAGTTGGGAATGGTAAAGAATTATCAATACCCCAGTTTTTGTTTTTTTTCTTTTTAGAGCTTTATCATTTTTAATATTCAAAAGTGAAACATCAAAAACTTCTAAAGGTTTAGAGTTAACAATATAGAAGGGTGTGTCTGTGATAGTTTGTTGTACGTGGTCTTGCCTACCAGTCAACTGCAAAAGTCCTATGACATTAAACACAAATTTATTCTTGGCATTTAAAGAAAAAGGCAAACCAAGAAACAGGCTTTTATATACATAGAACACACTGATGGTTACTGGAGAGGAGTGGCAGTGGGGGACATTGTTTAAATAGGTGACAAGGATTAAGAAGGGCACTTATAATGATGAGCACTGGGTATTGGAGAGTTGCATGTGAGTGATAAATCACTAAATTCTACACCCGAAACTAGTATTACACTGTAAACTAGAAATTAAATAAAAGCTGGTAAAACAATGAAAGAAGAAAATAAGAAATTTTTTCCTCATTCTGTTTAGAGGAACTGTAGTCCATCTTTGATGTGAGGCATATTAAAAAAAATTACTGCTGATACATGAAAGGATCTTGAGCTAATCCACAGAACTTAATTTAAATAACCATTATGAACATTTTGATGAGTTTTCAGGTGAAAATAATATTTGAAGACAGGAATAAAGGCAAACCTGTTTCCGAAAAATTCTTCATTGCAAAACATACAAATACCATGAAAACTGTTATCATTTCTTTCTTGCTGCTGTTGTTCCAGAATTTCTTTCTGTAAAGTAGAAACAGATATTTGATATTATCTTAATAAATGTACAGTTAGCTAATGGAAAATGTTACAGTCTGGATGGGAGGAATCTGGGGAAGAAGCACAAGGGGGAATATATGAATACTGACAACATTTCAAATTTCTCCATGTCTGTCCTTGAATCAAAACTCCAAGTCTACACTGTAAAATGCTGACAGACAATCCATTTGGGGAACTATGCAGAAAACTCAGTCAGCTGGGTCTCAGCACCCTTCCCTATCCCGGTTTTCCTCCTGATTTTGTCAGCTAACTCCCATCCTCAGCCTCTTCCTCAAACAAAAATGTGCTGGGCTTTTTGATTTGCCCCTTTTTGTAACTTCTCAGTTTAGTTCGTAATCAAGTCCTGATAAAATTTTCACTTGAACCATCTTTTGACTTCTCTCCACCATTACCCATGCCATCACCCTGAGTCCAGTTTTTAATCAGTCACTGGATTACTATAAATAAGTCTCCTAGAGTGTCTCCTTGATCTCAATCCCTTTTTCATCACATCCATCCTTCTTTGTGCTCCCAGACACTTTTCCGAACACTGCTTTCCTACACAATTATCTTATCATTCTTCAACGTAAATAATTTTAAATACGCTTTGGTAACACCTGCTCCAATCAGGGTGGTTCTACATATAATCTTTTTTTGACGTCATTTTATTTCTCTTTGCTTTCTGCCTGTTGCAAATCTTAACCTGTAACTTAAGATTTGCATTTTTATCATGCAGCCATTTCCAGACTACTGTAAAAGAGTTACGAGGGGCGCCTGAGTGGCTCAGTGGTTGAGTGTCTGCCTTCAGCTCAGGGCGTGATGCCAGGGTCCTGGGATTGAGTCCCACATCTGGGTCCTTGTGGGGAGTTTGCTTCTCCCTCTGCCTGTGTCCCTGCCTCTCTCATGAATAAATACATAAAATCTTAAAAAACAACAACAAAAAAGGGTCACAAGCTCTGGCTCTGAAACACTAGACCTGGATTTGAACTCTGGCCCTCAGTGCTACTCAATATTTTATTTATCATTTTTAATCATCAGTTTTTTTATTAAAAATTTTTTATTTATTTGAGACAGAGAGAGAGCGCGCACACATGGGGTGGAGGGGAGGGGGAGCAGGCTCTCAGTGAAGCAGAGCCCAGCTGAGGACTCAGTCCTGAGACTCTGGGATCATGACTTGTGCAGACAGACACTTAACCGATGGAGCCACCTAGGCACCCCATCAGTTTTTTCACTTTTTAGATGAGAATGGAAATATTATCTCACAGAAATGTTTATAGGATTAACTCAGGTAATTTATGTAAAGAGTTCAAATTGTGCATGGGTCATTACATGTTGGATATCATTGTTATCCAGCCAATGCCAATTTCCACGGTTTATTACCATCATATTTGTTAACTGTTTGTCTGCCTTGTCTTCTGAAGGGATTTGAAAATTCTTTGAAGTTAAAAGAAAGTCTTTATGCTGTTCTTATAATAGGCATTCTATTCTCTAGCTTCTCGTATACATGGAGCTCAAAATAGGAATTTTATAAAGTTTATTGCTGTTTTCTGTGAATATTTATAGAATAGCATAAAATGAAATAATACCTAGAAGTGTAATACATTCTATGTGGCATTTCTGGAAATGTATCACCAAACATCTAGAAATACTAATTCACTTGAAGAACCAAAATTAAGGTTGCCATGATAAAAATCAATTCAATGAACTGGTTTCAACCATGATGGAATAATGGATATCACACTTCCCCTTCCCCCGAAAACTACCATAAAATAACTTGCTTCATATATTTTTATGAAATAAAATAATACACTGCTAGTTTTCTGCTGGGTAGTATTTTTCAAATTGCAACATAGGGAAGTGAAACCCAAATGAGGTGTAGATACCTCATTGGATAGAGGGGGAAAAAAGCCTGGAGTTCAGGATACTATAGTGAGTACACTTTGTGAGACAAAGTACTAGAGAGAAGAGAGCTGAAGAGAGGGAGCTCAAGAAACCTGTACTGGGATTCTTTGGATCTTTGTCTAAATACTGAGCTGTACATGTACAAAGAAGGACTCTATGAGTCCTGCTGGAGGAATTTCCAAGGGCTGTAAAGCTTAGTAGAGATTCCAGAGGCTATAGCACTGGAATATGTTGGGAGTTCTGACATGGAGAATGAAAAGACCTTGCTCACACTTTAGGCATACAGCAAATATAAAAGAAATAGAAGAACTTTTAAATTTATGAAGGCCAAAGCTTTATGCTGGTAGCAAGTGGATAGATAAAAGCTAGAGAAATAAAAGGGCTACGGTGGATTTATCAGACCATCTTAATTATTGCTTTTTGAATTTAAGTGAACCTTATGTCAAAACTGAAAAGGACAGAAGTCAAAGAAAAGGGGTGTTGTTAAAGGAAACTGAACTTTTATAAACATGCACAGTTCGACGAAATAAACAAAACAACACATTTCAGAGCTCTGCATCAACAACTTTGTTAGCAAAAACAAAAACCCAGCCAACAAAGCTTTTGATAAAGAATCCTATCTCTATTGGTACAGTAAGACGGAGCATGTACTTTCTCGGCCTGCTCCTGTTTTCGGTCCACAAGACTCAGTGCTTATTAAGAGTCACCATTCTGGCTCACATTTCTCAAGCTTGTGATGATCTAATCCATTTGGCTAAAGAAAAATCTTACTCACCTTAATAATCTCCTTGGTTTTGGCTCAGTGCAAACACAATTGTGAATCTAAATCAGAGTGATACTAAGCCATCTAAGGTTTTCTTTGGCCAAATTTAATCAACTGACCCTATATTGCAAAATGTGCAATGTAAACATTAGAAAGGATATAAATTATTCTTAGGAGAGCCTAATTTACACTTTGGTATACTTGAGGCAGCATGGGATAGATAGGACAACAAGCAAAATCACTTTAATGGCAAGTTAACTAAAACCAGGCTGTTTTGTTCTGGGGTCTCCCTCATATGGTGATGGCAGGGTACTGTGCACTCTCAGCTAGTTTACCTGCACAATCGACAACCACAAGAAGAGACAAAAACTCTGGAGTGCCCCCCATCATTCCTGATCTTGCAGGCCCCAAACAACTCTAATTTCTACCCAAGTTCATTCCATTAAGATCTGCTTTTTTTTTTTTTTAAAGATCTGCCTTTTGTCTACAACACAAACTCTTTCTATTTTTTTTTTAATTTTTATTTATTTATGATAGAGAGAGAGAGAGAGAGGCAGAGACATAGGCAGAGGGAGAAGCAGGCTCCATGCACCGGGAGCCTGATGTGGGATTCGATCCCGGGTCTCCAGGATCGCGCCCTGGGCCAAAGGCAGGCGCTAAACCGCTGCGCCACCCAGGGATCCCCACAAACTCTTTCTAAACTTCGTTCTAGATCTTCCTCCAAGGGGAACAACTTAAGCCATTTGTTGCTCCACTCTGCTTTCTTTCTTCCTCTGTTTATTTCATTTGCATAAAACTTTTCTCATTTTAATATTAACAAATCTGGAAAGAATTTCATAACTGGGAAAAATGAACACAAGGACTAGTTTTATTCGGATTCTCTGCTCTTCCAGGAAAAATGAACACAAGGACTAGTTTTATTTGGATTCTCTGCTCTTCCTAGGCTTGATAATTTTAAAATAAGAGAAGTCTTATATAAATGAAATAAATAGAAAGCAGAAGTCAATCAAGAAAAATCGTTTTTCTTTTCTTTCCTTTTTCTTTTGTTAAGCTTGATATCTGATTAGTTCAAGCATACATTTTTAACTTACTCTCAAACAAAAAAATATGATATTAACAGACAATCATAGACAGCAACACAAAGATATATAAATCAAAGCCCACCAGCTTTGTGGTTTTATTTTTCTAAAAAAAAAAAAAATCCCATGCTGGGTAGGCATACTAGATTTTATTCACGGATTTATAGAATAGAGGGATGAAGAGAAAGTCACAGATGTTATATGTTTGAAATTCTCAAACTTATCTGATGAAATCCGATAGAATTTTCATTACAAAATAGGCATGGATAAAAACCACAGTTATAAGAATACAAGATCAGCTTATGTATTAGGCAAGGAGTCATAATAACAAGCTTTATTTTTTTGTCTAATTGGTTTAAAATGTCAAGAATGGCAGCAAAAGGGTCAGTGCAGAGTCTTTCATCTTTATTCATAAGCCGAAGGCAGAGGAAACATTAATGAAACAGCAGATAGAGCAGATGGCACTCAATAGTCATAGGGGATTGACATATATAGGTAGAAAATGGAAATGTGAGTTAGGCTGAAAGTTATAAAAATCAGCAATTTAGGAAAAAGCAATTTAGAAAAATCTCAATTTAGTTAAGTAGTGGTATACAGGAAAGCAGAAACGGATGCTTAGAATGATATATCCAATGGAGACAGCTTGCATTACCATCAGGAAGTAAAACTTAAAGCTGATGTTATTAATTATAGATACTAAAAGCATTCTATAGATACTAACATAACAGATGCACAACAGTTTCTGGATTGAATGGTTGTATGAGTGACTATGAGCACAAAAAACACACTCCTAAGGTTCCTTCCCAATCTGACATCACATGCAGCAGCACCACAGAACCTGTTAGGCATTCTTGGTTTAGAAGCCCAGCTGAGCTCCTTCAATAGAGAACACAAAGTATGTCCCTACTAAAGTCAGAGTGGTGGCCCAAAGCCTCCAAAGGATCTCCTATCCTCGTGCTCCCTACTTTCTCTGAGGTTTTTGGTATTATTTCATTTACACCTCCTCCTTGGCCCAGTAAGTATTTCAGGCAGCTATAAAACAATGCAGCATAAAGATGAGAGTAAAAGAAAGAAAGTATTAGGTAGGATGGACACATAAATTGAAAATTAAAAAATAAAAATAAGAGCTATGAATGAATAAGTACACACACACAAATTCAAACATAAAGATGGACCCCAAATTTGGCTATCAGCTTTCCTAGATAAGGGAAACAGATCAGACAGGGGTTTGTGATGGCTTT